CTGGCGGGCACTTGGATTGCCACCCCCAGATTTCACGAGCACAACTTGCTGGAAACTGGTTCCCATGTCAACTATATTGACAGCAGTATAGCGATTTCCGAAGAAGTCCTTGACCTCTAGCGCATCCATTCCTATCGTATGATTGAATTCCTTTGGAAACACGCTATCCCCTGCGACAGGGTGGTGCCTGGGCACTGGAGCTGTGTCCAGGCAGACTTTACACTTGTAAAGTCCGGCAGCGGCGATGAAATCTTTGCTCGCCCGGGCCTGCTTCAGAACCTGTATCAGGACTGCGTTTGGCAGATGGCCAAAGGATCGGTGCAGGCGCCTTATAGATTATAGCTACCCGGACTCGTTGCGGTAACGATCTCCACGCCGCTCGGCGCTCTGCCTCCGTGTTCGGAGTTCCTGGAAACGGGAATTGTTCCAGAATGAGGCGTTCTCTTTCCTCGGGCGTCAGTGCGCCACCGGCATTGTCCACTTCATCATGGACACCTCGCCGAGGCATCTCAGCGTCGGGCACCAGCTCTGCTTCGCTGATGTCCTCAGGATCTGTGTCCTGGGCGTCGCCGACAAAGCAAGTCCGGCTAAATGCGTTGATATAGTACTCCTCAGAAATGGTACGACAAAGATTCCAAAAGTCAGTACTATCCGTATCAACATAGCTACGGGGTATATACCCGTAAGACTCTGACCATGCTTGGAAGGTGTCCAAAGCCTTTCCGATCTCTGGGCCTATGCCTGAAATATGCATGTCTCCTCTCAAGGTAACAGTGTCCTCAAGCATTGGATAGCCGTTCGGGGTAACCAATATGATCGGAATGTTGAGGGTATCGGCTACACACTCAAGCTCCAAACACAACTCCTCTGTGGAAGTCTCGAACCTGGCAACCACGAGGCCCGGTGGCCCGTTCTGCCTCTCGTTGATCACGCTCGCGAGGACCTGTGCCGAGGGTTCATTCAATCTAATCAGGTGATCAGGCAGCGTTGTACACGATTGCCTTTAAGACTTCGTCCCCCGCTACCATTTCGGTAAGGCTTGAGGTGAGGTACTTGGACTGGGCCTTGCTAAGCTTCTTTAGGCTAGCTAGCGGCTGAGGGCCCAGAGGCTGCGCTGCTACTGCTACTGTGGGGCAGGTCTTCGGGAGGATCAGGGCTTGGAAACGAAATCTGGCTGGCTTGTCCTACCCACTCCCCACTGCAGACGGCCATGTATGCTGCATCGCGCTCTGCTCCGTCCTCCTCCATGGGTGAAACGTCACCCTCCGGGACTGTGCCCGGGCCGGCGGAGGCAGCGATCGTCGATGCCCGCGGGTCTGTGCCCGGGATGTACACTGCACTCAAGGCATCTGTGTCCTCGATCTGATGCGGCACTGTGCTTGAGTCAAACGCCAAAGGGAAGACCCAAAGTGCCACATAGGCCCCTTCGTAGGTCGGCTCCTGTACTGGACAGGGCTGATCCGCTCCGCCAGTTTCGGCGGGCACACGATCCGTATCCGACCCCGGTGGGTGGCAGGTGCCTTCGTAGGTCCAGCTGGAACCGTCGGCCGGATCTGGATGCGAAAAAAGGTAACCAATGGGATCTATGTCCCGAAGCCGCCCCGTGGGCTTGTACGAACGGCCAGTGTGGCGGGTGACCACTGTGCACTTTATGTTGTGCCGTTCGCTTAGCTCATGGTGATTTTTATCACCAGCCCAGAACCGCCTCGGTGCATATGGACCGATCCAACACGCTGGCGCCTGCTTCTCGCACATCACCTCGTATAGGGCGGTCAGCACACCATCAGGAAAGTCCTGAAACACGATGCGCCTATTCCACCCGAAACCTGTGTCGGGGCTGAGTTCTATGGCACCTACGTCAATGGCGAGGATCCTCTCGTCGATTTCGACGAGCTTGCCTTGCCCCGGGGGCTTCGGGAACTGACGACGGAATTCTGCCCATTCCGCGTCAGTCCACTCGGCCGACGGCCTATCGCCGTGGAAGTACCACCACGACTCGTTTGGGGTCATGGGGCGATGTGGGTTGTCGCGCTCTGGGAACCTATGGTATCCAGCACTGCCTCGGAAGCGCGGTGGCTCCGGCGGTTCAGGCGGGCGCCTGCTGCCTCCAAGGCTCCTCCTGGGTCCCGGTGGATCCCAGTCACTTGCACCTGTGCCGTCGTCGTATTCGACGTCGTCGTAAACACTGTGGGGTGCAACCTTGCCTTTGCCCTTGCCTTTATCGGGCTCATGCTCCACCTCCGGCCGTGCAGAGGGGCGAGGATTCGTGCGCTCACGCTCGGGAGCTGTGTCCCGATCTGCACGATAGCGCTCGCGCTCGGGAGCTGTGTCCCGATCTGCACGGTCGCCGCCCGGGTCAGCGCGGACGCGACCCCAACGGGAGGTGCGTTGGCGTGTCGGAGCCTCGGACCTATCCCGAGGTCTGGATTCCATCCGCCGCCTTTCTCGGGTGCGGTCACGGCGGTGGCTCCTGTCCGAGGAGGAACTATCCCTCCGTCTGCGACGCGATCTGGAGCGTCGTGTGAGTCGCTGAAGCTCCACCTCGGCCCTATCGGCCCGGCGTTCCGCGTCTTCTGCCCTTTCACGCATGTCCTGCAGCCTATCATACGCATTATCGCGCTGCCGCTTCACATTACTGAGGGCCTCTCTCAAGTCACTTATAGTGCTTTCTTGGCAGCGATTCGCATCGGTGAGGTCGTGGACCTCGGCCTCGAGCTTGCGAATCCGAGCCGACGACAGTGTCGGCGTCGCTGCACGATCCTGTGCCCCACCGGACTTTGCCGGCGGCGGTGTCGGTGTGCCTTTCGGTCCCACTATGGGGGCCGCTCCGCCTTTGGCTGTCGCACCTACGCTGGAACTACCCGAAGCCGAAGAGGGGTTAGGACCCGAGCTAAAGGTAACCGAAGGCAAGCGTCCTCCAGGGGCTGTGCCCTGTGCGCGGTTCATCGCCGCAGTAAGCGAGTTGGGGTCGAACTTGGCCACATACGATGTATGTGTCTTGCCGACCAGCCCCATGCGAGTTGCAGCCTGGTACGCGGTTTCGCCTGCCAGGGGGGGCCTATCAAGGGGACCTACCCCCGTCACCGGTGCCGGTATACGGCCCTCTGCGAGCAGGCGTTCATGAAACCGCTCAGCATATGTAGGCTGATCGTCAGGGCGTGCACACTGCGGCTCAACGACAAGGATGCACTCATTGTCCTCCGGTCCGTCTGTGCGGACGGCATCGACGAAGGACTTCGTGAGCTCCTCAACCTCCTGGACTACCGATAGGATCCGAAGCTAAACATAGGACATCGACGCATACCAACGCCAGCTGCGGGGTTACGTAAGCTAACGTCGGTCTACGTCAGCTAACGTCGTTCTACGTCAGCTAACGCCGGTTTGCGTCAGCTTGCGTCAGTCTACGTAAGCCTACGTCGGCTACGTCGGCTGCGTCGGCCATACACAGGATCCCATGCGATTCCAAATCGATTCTGTAATCAACTAAGAAAGAAAACTAAATTGCTTGCTTATCCCATGGATTTAATATTATCATAGATGTTAATATCAGTCCTGAGCATGCATGCGTTCAGCGTAAGCGCTGCGCAAAGGAAGCCGCTGCGTCAACGTGCGTCAACGTATGCTGTTGCGCTGGCATGCGTTAATTTGAAATATATACTTTTCGATATCCGTTTTGCATGGCTTGTATTTAATCTTGCTTAGATTTCAACAAATATGGGTTGAACTTTATTTAATTCTCACTGCAGTACGTTCAGCGTAAACGCTGCGCAAAGGAAGCCGCTGCGTCAACGTGCGTCAACGTGCGTCAACGTGCGCCAACGTGCGCCATGGGTACGTTGTATTGTGCGTCGGAGACGTGCGTCGATCTTCGACTTTATAAATCGGAAGCCAAACGTTTCACCGTGACGGCCATCTTCAGCCATCGAGGCTTGAGCCACTTTGAGCCAAAAAAATTAGAAACATGTGCATGTATACATATTATAACACACACACACACACACACGCATAATACATGTGTATAGGGTCTGCTGCTCCAGCGTCTTGCAAATATAATATAGAATCGAAACGAATAACAACTTCACTAACCCTTTTATTTAAGGTAATGATCCGAAATCACCGAAAGTCCGAAAGACAAGCCTAAAACCCTGGATCAATCTTGAGTGGGTGGTCGAAGGCTTTCGATGGTTTCGGGAATGGGACATCGTTGGACGAGTTTTTAACAGGATGGGTTTCTTGGGCTCACAGTTTGAGGTTCCCGGATTTCAAAAGGGCCCAAAGTGCCAGGTTCCAGGGTTCAAGGTACCGCATTATGGACTTTGTGGGTGTTTATACTGGAGTTGATCGGGATTGGGGATTAATCCTTGGGTCTGAACCCAAACTAATATCACGATAAACAACTATAACACCATAACCGATATCGAAGGATTAGTCCTGTAGCAAAAGCAACCACACATTCCTGGACACCCGGAAGTTCTTGTTGGGGGCTACTTCAGTAAACGATTGCTGGTATCATGACCTTAAGAGGTGTATTCACTCAAGAGGCCTACCGTAATAGACTCCGATCCCGTCATAACTTTAAGATACTGCAGGGCACCTCAAGGCTCTATAGTGCTGTAGGGTACAGCGATTGTTTCGGGTCCCGTACCTGCTTCTGTAAACTTGGAAACCGACAACCCAAATAAGATACACTCCCAAATAACATTAACCTTCCATCCTTTCCTTCGGTGGCGGACGATGCACGCTCCGATCAGCCGAGCTGGCCGGGGCCCTCGGAATTCCCCAGCTTGCGACCTATAGTAGAAGCCAGAAAGTTGGAACATGACTTTAGGAGGATTAGTGCTAGGATCCCTTATACTTTACCTTTAGGGTATGAGGCCAATGATGTTCCAACTTTCTGGCTTCTACTGTATAGGGTTTTGGTAGTCGTAGAACCCTGGGTTCAGTGAAAATTGTATCTGGGGTACCTGGCATCTAGGGGCTAGATTATTTAGGGCCGCTTACTAGGTTCGCTGGGCAACCCGACGCGACTCTTCGAGCCTCAGGCCCATCAGCAGTAGATACCGCTGCATCAAACGTTTCATCGCAGTTGCTGCATGGCAGCGGACAGCTATCTTCTTCAAACGCCCTAAGAAAGATTCTTCCTCCCACACCGCTCCGATGCTCGGGTTGATCCGTGTTCTCAAAATGAAATCGGAAACATGATCGAAATAATGGTGCTTTGGTTTCAGTCTCCACAGACGCCAGCCTTGCGATTGCGAGAAGGTCGACAGCCACTGCCAACAAGTGAGATGACGTCGAATATGTCGGTATGATACCTGCAGTTGATTTGAAACCAGGACAACAATTATTTTTGAAAATTCAGAAACCCGAAGGATTTTCGATTTGCCCACACATTCCCCAGTTCCCCGCCTTTGAGGTGTCCTCGTCCATAACTAATGCAGCGTGGTCCAGCTGCACAATGGCAGAATGAATCGACCAAACGCAGACCGACACGAACTTCAGGGGCAGAACCTGGCAGGGAATTCCGTGGACTGTTGTATTCACTACCTTGAAACCCAAACCCAAACCCACGGCACACTTAAATCATGTATGCATGCTCATGACATGCCTCCGGTTGCGCTTTCGAAATCTCTTCGGCTTTCCAAGCCAGGAACCACAGTGAAGACTTTATAGCAGCTGCCTTGAAGGTTGAACAGAGTTCAGGATCTTCGTTCATAGAACTTCCAATACCAATATTGCTCGGAGTGAAGCTGCGGACATTCATTCGTATCCTCGGGCTGTTTACCCAAATTACAACTGCAGAAACCATTGCGCATTTAGAACTGCGATTAGACAGCACAAACTACCGAGTAGGGAACCGAAAAATCGCAACACAGGTTCGTAATATACAGGTGGGGTCTTAAAGAGGATTAGGGTTACCGAAACGGTGCCGCTGGTATACCCATTCTCGCGACACTTTTTCTTCATCTCGGACGACAAGCGCAAAAGTTGCTGAGCAATGGTGCCACCACCCAGAGCATTGAAGCGTATCCAGAACACGATGCACGAAGAAATCATGACCCGAAGCGTACCCAAATAAAGAATGTGCATCATATCCAATAGAACCGTGTGCAAGTTCCAGCCAGGCATGCATGCCCATGGTGACACTTCCAACGCCGTGCGCATATAAGTTGTATGACTAATACGGGTCAGCCTGTGGGGTGCACCTTCGCTGAAGTCGGTGAAAGGGCACGTTTTCTCTGGTTTCGCCTTCTCGGCGAAGCATTGTTCACAAATCAAATCACAGTTGTAGTATCTTTCAAAGCGGTTGGCCTGCATGCGTGCTTTCATATCCGCTTTGAAGCCAGTGTATGCTAGCTTGAAACCGCCGGACAAAACCTGTCCCTTCAATCGATGCCTCCAAGCACTCTGAAAAGGTAGCCCGTCTTCGCCAACGGTGGGTCCCAAACCGGTCGCTGCACACTCCATGCTCCATGCTAGTATTTCCGCAACACGTTTGTGAACGTGCGCTGCCACGGAGTCATCCCTCATAGCCACGTGCGGGACGATGCAAAGCGGCATCTTGCAATCCCACACCTATAGCTTAAGCTAGCTATCGTATGGTCGTTCGGGGAATCTTGGGGATATTCGGGTATAGCTTGTTATAAACCACGACAATGCCGAGAAACATCAGCCTTTGCATGAATAGAGCTCATTGACCAAACAACATATTCGTTGTTCTTGTAGAACTCTGCTCCGTCCACGTGAAAAACAACCGGCAGAACTCCTTATTTAGGCACCATGACGGAAGCATGTAAACTTTGAACACATGAAAAAACTGGATTGTGCTTCACCAAGGAGCTTTCTAAATCATTTTTCGGATCATTGAGTACTGGATGATCTTTCCACTCAGTATGCTGCATTGCATGCATCCAGAAACTCTTCATCTCAGCACCAGTGCGCCCACCAGTCATTGAGCGGGCAAACTGCGCAAGGGCTTATAGACTGGAAACCACAAATTAGTCAGGCCTTCTGGTAAGAACACCACGGGACTTGTTTAGTCACCCGGCCTGCTCACGGCCTGAGTTGTACAAGCAATGCAGAATCTCGTGCGGAAGGAGGAACGGAATCTCCACTGTCTGGGGCTCGTCCTCGTGTTCAACCTCAGAGAGTTGGATAAAATCGTCAGAGGGACAAAGGTTCGAAGAGAAAGCAGAGAGAACCGAACAGGCTATACAGAGGCAGAGACAGAAAGGGCAGATAGAACGAGAGATCGAGAGAGAGAAAGCAGGGATAACACAACTACTGAAAGGGCAAGCTGGAGCTAGTGATGAAGTTAGAAGTATAGTTGCACCCGAGAAGCATTAACATCCATCAAGACGTTGTACATCTCTAGTTCAAAACCAAACAGCCGCTTCAGCCAGTTGTGCAAGTCGCGCTCTTGATTGGAAGGATGCTTGCCCTCCCCTCCCAACGAAGCGAATGCCTTCACAGCTTCCAGCGGCAGCCCGTCCGAAACAGCAGCCCTAGCCAAATCAGCGATTTGTGCCACCGTTGCTCGTCCAGTACCCAGCATACCTCCAACATACGTATAGGAAAACTCAAATACTATTTGTACTATACTAATAAATAAAGACATCAATCTATCGCAAAACACGAAAACTTGTAAAACAAACACACTCCCACCCACACAAACACACATTCTCTCTCCCTCCCACATAGTCTCTCACTCTCCCAATCTATCTTTTTCTCTTTCTCGAGCTCGGACTTATAGACGGTGTCATAGGACGGGACACGTATGAACTCTTCACCCACCTCGCTGTGTTGCATGTCGTCGAATTTGCGCTTGCGTAGACTCCTTAGCATGCATATAACATGTTGGGACGTAGCCTTCGCGTAAAAAGTTGCGGAGAACGATTATAACCATAATTTGTAATACTTTGGTCGAAGGGCAACTTGGTTTTCAGGGTTCGAGGCATTAGCTGAGGCTGGCCTTGAAGGTTGATTAATGCACTCGAGCCCCACTGCTAGCTTGAATTTAGCTTAAACCCAACAAGCGACACTATCTCAAACCTTCTAAAGTAAACGGCGGCCCTCCCAGACCCTCGCGTTAGCCCGTGACCTCAAAACCCACCCTAAACCCTTTAGAACCCAAAACCCCACTTGACGAAACCTCACGAGGCTCGAAGCGGTGGAGGTGCTGGTCGCGATGCTGGATTGGCCTCGGAGGAGCAGACTGGCTAGGGTTTAGTGTTGGGGTGTGCGGGTTTACAATAGGATCTGGCACCGGCTAGTCCCAGGGTTTTTTTTACAACTTCACACCTTGGCTTTGGCAGATGAGGAGTAACGACTTGGATTTCGTGGCTAGAAACACAGGGTATGTTGTGCTGGAGCTTATACAGGGATAGTTCAGATAATGCTTGCAAGCGTGCAGGGCTTCAAGATTCGAACTAGAGCCACTGAAATAACTGCATACATAGCTCCCCAATCATCGGTTTTGTTCGCAAAGCATGCGAGCGGTTCTCGAGTCCATGCGTGTGCATGGAAGAATCGTGGAGCTGCAAAACTGCGCTGTATCAAAAAGCACTGAATCATCGATCATCATCAAGAGGGCCTTTTAGACACTCTTGGCTGGGGTGTCTTTGACACCCTTCTTGTTTTTCTTCGATTTGCTCTTCTTGAGTCCGGACTGAAGGGCTTTGGCAGACGCCTGGCGGGATCAAAATATTATGAGTTTATGGGGACAACTACCTCTAAGATGAGAATTGTATAACTACCTGGGTATAAGGTTTGGGTTCTATACTTCGAAACTATATAACCACGATTGGGTAAGGTTTGGGCTCTTGGTAATTATATGATTTACACTGACCCGAATATCTGAATGGCCTCGGCTTTCTTGTACCACTGATTCATCGCCTCAAAGATGGAGTAGAACTTCTCAAAGCTCGCGTTGTTTTTCACCCCGCGCTTCTTCAAATCTTGGAGTTTGGCATAGATGGTCTCGAGTTTGACACTGTGCTTCTTCATCTGGGCGACCAAGTCGTCGCTGTAGTCGAGGTGGGCCAAAGAGATGCTGAACTTACGTGCTTCGCTGGCCTCTTTGAGGATTTCGTCCATCTTGTCTTGGACCAACCTAGGATTCAGTGTTATCGACCCAAACAGAAAAACCGGGCCCAGCTATATCGTAACTATCATATGTTTAATTCGAAATCTAGTAGAGATTTTCGATAAGTCGGGATGCTCCCACGCTTCCTTCGGCTCCAACTCCTCGGTCTCCTCCTTGGCCTTCTCCATTTTTTTCGGCGGCTTGGCTTTGGTGACTTCGCCATGCAAAGCCTCGAGCACCGCCTTGCTTCCCGCTTCGCTCGCTCCAGCAACACTTGGCAGGGCACCTGCTGCCAGAGGGCCGCCCTCCAGCAGAGCCTCTCCCAACTCCTTGTCCGGGTTGTCCTTGATCTTCAGCGTCAGCTTCTCCTTGGTCTTGTCATCTCTGCGTACCGTGGTTCCTTGGCCGACAAAGTAATAGTATTCCTCGGGGTCGTCCGGGAAATCTTCGTCAATCTCGTACATTCCCTTCTTTGTCAACTTCGTGATGAGCTGGGCAGCCTTCCTTAAACCAACACTATTCAATGTGTATTATGGGATTGGCTTCGGTGCGGGTGCGGGGGTGTGGTCCTTAAGGGGTTTGTGGTGGGTCGAATAATGTAGGTCTAATTTAACACTACATTTCGGGGCAGGATATTGGGGGGTTGTTTGGGTTTGCGGGGGCGGGGGTGTGGTCCTTAAGGGGTTTGTTGTGGGTCGAATAATGTAGTATATTTTTAACTCTACATTTCGGGGCAGGATATTGGGGGGTTGTTTGGGTTTGCGGGGGCGGGGAAGCTTTATTATTCGGCAAAGACTCTCGACGGGGTACTTCTTCTCGATTTCCCGCTTTTTCATTCCCTGGCGCTGTCGTCTGTTGAGAGTGCTCTGTTCGGTCGAACGTTCGATCTCCAACTGCACCCTTAGATGATGTGTGTTGCTAGACAAGAAGTCTGTTGTGGGTTACACTTGAATCAAGGTAGCACACACCAAACAACGTCACCAATATCGACCAGCCACTTCTCCCAATCACCACCGGCTTCTAGCCACTTACGAAAGACATCCGTCTTCCCCTTGATGATGTGTGAACTCAGAGCTTGGGGGAACGTTTTCCGGTTCTGGATCGCCCTGTGGAAGGTGTCCCATTCTCTCTTGTGTGTGGTACCTCGGGATATATCTAGAGTACAAAATAAGGCTGCAGTACTTTACATATAGTTCGAAGACAATCATGTAATCAGCAATAATCGATCATGGTAAGTTTCTGTTCGCAGTCGCATAGAGCTTCTTGGCTTCGGAATCGGCTGTTGCCACTGTGCTTTCCAATCCCTCAGCCGCCTCGGGCTTCAAGGCTGCTCGGGCCGGGGGCTCCTTGGTCTCCGTCTTCTGCTTCTTATCCTTCTTCTCCTTCTTCTCCTTTTTGTTCGTTTTCTCCTTCTTTTCCTTCTTATCCTTCTTGTCCTTGTGGTTCACCGGGGTCGGCGTCGGCTCCGGATCCTTGGCCGCGCTTTTGATGGTCTCCGCCTCGGACTCATCCTTCTTGTTCTTCACGAAAGAGCTCGGCTTCAAAGCCGACTTGCGGGGCGGGGGCTTCGCCGGCTCTTCCTCCTCGGACTGCGAGTCGGGCTCCTCGGAGTCGAGGCTGTTCTCATCCTCGGACACTTCGGCCTCACTGGCCGCCTCCTCGAGATCCCCGCTGCTGACGTCGGCGGAGCTGACCCCGCTGTTCTCGGCAGCCTCGGAAGAGGTTTCGTCATCGGAGCAAGAGGAATCCACAGAGTCCTGCATATAGTTTCAATTAAATTCACTTATCCCAGAAAACTATTTACTTAATCTATTTGTTAGAAACCAATTATATTCACTTATCCCAGAAAACTTTTAGATTAATCTATCGGTTAGAAACCAATTACATTCACTGGTCCCAGAAACTACTTATTTTATCTGTTACAAACCAATTACATCCACTTAACCCAGAAAACTATTTAATTTATCGGTGAGAAACCAAGTACATTCACTTATAGAACCCAGAAAACTATTTAGTTTATCGGTTAGAAAGCATTACAGGATTTCAGTATAGTTCTCCTCGGCTTCGGCCTCCAAGTCCTTCTTCAACGACTTGCGAGGGTGCTGGCTGAGGTAAGCCGCCACCGTTTTGCCCGCAGCCACTGCCTTCTGCTTCACGTCCATGCAGTCCGCCACACTCTTGCGTTGCGCGCTGTCGGGGGAGGTAGTCCGGCGGACCTTGCTGGAGGGGGTCTCCACGGCATCGGGCTCGGCGTCCTCCTTGGACTGCTTGTTCCTCTTGCGTTCCTTCACGGCATCACGAAGTGCCTTCTTCTTGGCAAGCTTCAAAGCTTTGGCCGCCCTGGCTCCGTTCACGGAATCAGCTGCTGCCTTCTCCTTTGTCTTGCCACGGCAAACCTTGATAGGAGACAGCAAGTGAGCTGCCCTGCCTCCCTTGGGTTTACCCATCTCGAAGTGCTGCCGCCGATGGCCCAAAGTAGGGCAACTCGATCAAAAGCTGCGAATATGGAAGCAAGAAGTCAGCCAAGAATGGGAGCTCAGCCAAGAATGGGATTACTCAGTGGCGTCTGGTATGAAGGCAAAAATTGAGGCACTCAATGCTGAATCGTTGCGGCTACCTACATTGGCTGTCCGGAGTCACTTCGTTTCGGGAAACTTTTGGCTATCTGGGGCTCCTTAGGATCCTTCGGGTTTGCTTCGGGCTCGTTCGGGTTCGTTCTGGTTCGCTCGGGTGGGATTTTGGGGGCCATATACCATTCGTGGCTGTTCGCGCTTTTTCGCGGCTGAGTTCGCGCCCAAACGCGGCTGAGTTTGGGGCGGTTTCGGGCCAAACCGAACCAAACCGAAAAAATCCTGCCGAAATTGAAAATTGAAAAACGAACCTAGCAACAAAGGAGCCAGAGCAGGCCACCCCTTTCCAAACGGGCCCCGTGGCTAAGACCCTCCGAAAGCCAAGAATGGGACAGCTCTCCCTCGGAGGCGCCCCGGAAACATAGCTTAGAACGAGCAATTGTTAAATTACTAATTACTATAATAAGTAAATATACCAGGTCCCCGGCTTTGTTGCCGTTGTACAGCATTCTTCAGAACGAACCGTGGCATCCTGCGTGTTTGGGCTGCATGAACTCAGTGGGACTTACATATCGTAGCAGAGAACGGTTCTACGATAGCACGAAACAACTGCGTTTAAGGGTCGAGGGTCTCAATACAAAGTTTCCTTTGGGTCCTGGGTTCATATGGATGGATACATATCCTAAACTGGAGGTGGAAGGGAGGCATATCCTAAAGGTGGAAGGGAAGCCCGGGGCGGTGGCCTCGAACCTGAATACGATTTGGGTCTCTGTTGCTGCTTCGGGCGTCACAGCTTCAGGCCGGGATTGAATAGGAATACAGGACATATTGTTAATGTTGTTTTGAGTGAACATGTACACACGAAGATAAGGAGCAATGCTTCTTGTTTCTGGGTCATCTGTGCTGTACATAGATCGAACCTACATACTCCATTTCCCACACTTCTCAACATCCCGAGCGAGTGTGCAGATCTGCTTTGCAGAACTAATTACCATGTGTACGTGCATCAACTGGAAGGATCTCCGTGGTTGCTGCAAAGAGAAGCTGCCCGGCTCGGCCGAGCACCGAGATCACACCAGCTGAAGCAAAGGGTCCCAGGCAGATAGGAGGCAGTTGCTATTAAGGTCGAAGACGATACGTTCACTGGGTGATTTTTCTGCATCGGGCACTGCTTCCGATCATGTCTGTGCACTAGAGCATCTGGAGTTTAAAGTCCAGGGAGAGTCATGACTTGCGACAAATTAGCAGCCACGAACCACTCTGGACTCGTGTCATCTTGCACTGCTGGAGCTTTGACTCTCTTGGCGTAGCGCAACCACCTTCTGCTATCCGCCTTAACAGCAGCCGAAACCTCAGATCGAAGATCTGCAAGAGCTCGCCCGAACCTCGCTCGGCCCAGGCCGGGCTGGACGGACACCGTGCGCAAGGGCGGCTCAGGGGGTTTCCGGGTGTTGATTAAGAAGGTCACAGGATTATGCAATGACTTTGGGCTCATATAGTTTTTAGATAGTTTCTGGGAATTCGGAATTAGATGGTTTGAAGCCAGAAAGAATAGGACACTTGCCTCAAAGGCACAGGTTGCAGGGTCTAGGGTTTCGAGGTATTTGGGAGATCGGGGTTATTGATTTATGGGGCCGCTACTTATGATCACACCCCTTCAGGGATTCGATTGGGAACCGTATAACATACACCGAAGCTTGCCTTCGAAACAGTATATGTACCGAATTCTAAACCAAGGCTCTGCCACGGGTACGATTGGCTAAGTTTCAGGTCTTTCCCCCCTGTAACCTTGGCATTGCCATCCTGGTCGTAGGTCCGCTGAACCATTTGTTTTTCCGCCGAACATTCGGGAAGCCATCTCGGGCGATGCTTGTAGATGTCGCCGGTTTCGGGTCTATCTTAGCCAGTGGATATGGGCAAATAAACAACTAGACAATTAGCAAACCTGTAGGAACTCACATAAGATGTATATATGTCCATATATTATAATTGATTAATTTTCTTTACTTAATTTTTTTTAGTATACAAGAATATATATATATATATATATATATATATTATGTATACATACTTATATATGTGCAGATGCATACATACATACCTACATTACTGTCATGCTGCAGAAGTAGGCTATGATAGCACATGCTACATATAAAGTATTATAATACTATATATGTATAATGTGCTATCATAGCCTACTTCTGCAGCATGACAGTACGAACTCTACGAGTTTAGCGGGGCACTAGAAACAAAGACTTCGGTAGATTATGGGGTATATGTTCGAGTGCCAGCGAAACATTCTGAGCAGCCGGCTGCTGTAGAGCCAGGTGGGCTTGTCCGCCCAATGACCATATGTTTTCATCTGCAGCGAAGTGCGGTAAACTGGTATCCTCTGAATCAGCCATTGGAATAACGGGTGCTCTTCCAACAAGCTTCCTCTA